CCCCAAAACCCCAAAACCCCAAAACCCCAAAACCCCAAAACCCCACGCCTAAAGTACCAACTTGAAATTTCTGCTATAATCTTAATTTAAATTAATTATGAAAATGAGCATCTCTAGCAGAAAGGAGGTAGCATTTAAACTTGAAAAACCAATAAGAGGTGAACAGAAGTTTCACTACTTCTCTGCCACAAATGTTGCAATGGGTCTCTACCACCAGGAGTACCAGCCCACTAGAGAGAGCACGGACACTTATTTATAGTGAGCAGGGATAATGAGGATGCTTTGAGTGATTCAGATTCTGAAGATTTAGACGAGAAATTTCAGAAAGCTTTTGATGCCCAGTCATATTGTAGTTACTCTACTAGCCCAGAAAGCCCTAGGAAGGAAGAGTCTGAAGAAAGAGAACAACCAAGGATAAGCATCCCCAAGTGTCTGAAGGAATTTATTACACAATCTGTATGCTTAGTAATTCACCGTTATAGATGTTGGAAAGAATCTTGAAAGCAGAGAATGGAAAGTATCATAACAGAGTCCAATTGAAACCAATGATTAATGTTACATACAAAAAGATCATGAGGCAAGAGGAAATTATAGAAGGCTTCAATTATCAGCGAAGAATGATGTCTCCTGATAAAAAGTCAAAGATCGAAGCTGACCTGGTTTACCATGAAGATCTCTGAAAATTTTACTCTTACCTTAAGGACGTCCAAAGGAAAATAGCTGAAGTTATGTTATTTTCGGTAAGTAAATTGACACCAAATTGGGATTTTACATTAGTAGAAGTTTTTGAAAAATTCGTTTTTATGAGTAAATTGCAGTTAGGATGATTTTAGATGTACTCACCAATTCTTTCTTCCTAACTCTGGTATAGGTCATACGTGAGGATGAATCAATTACTTTCAAGATTGCTCCTTGGTTCTATCAAATTGCAATATCTGCTATTGCAAGGAACAAAGGATGGGATATATTCCAACTTGTTATGAAATATAATTATGATATAAAAATCAGCCGAAGAGACCATCAAAAGAAGATAGTTATAGAGTCATACTCAGGACCTCTAACCCAAACTCTTCTAGATGCTGAAGAAGAGATTATGGAAATCCTTCGAAATGTAAGAGCAACTAAGTTTACTTATGGGTGGTATTTTTATGTAAATAAAGCCGGTGAAAAGATTCCAGTGTCTTCAGAGATAAATTCCAAACTCGAAATGATGCGAGTTAAGAAATCCCCTTTATTTTCAACATGAAATTTCTACATCTCTGGGCAAAACTACAAGCCCTCTCAGTGCTTTAAGAACTTGGTCGTTCTGGTTAACAATCCTAGCCCAAAAGGTTCCTCAAAGGGTCACTCTGGATCCTCTAGTATCAAACTAATAAGAAAGAAAGTAAGGATGGACGTTGAAGAGGTTCAGAAATGATGGGGAAATACCAACGAGCTATATGACTTAATTGTAAAATCCTGTCAATATTCTGGAGATACTTAGGGGTTTTGGGGTTTTGGGGTTTTGGGGTTTTGGGGTTTTGGGGTTTTGGGG